CTCTCTCAGATCTGTACAGATGGGTATGTGCTCGGTAATGCTCAATCTGTGCTTTGTTGCAAGATGGACTTAAAAGAAGCAAGCTGTTGTTCTCTTCACCACAGTCCTGCTAGCTTTTTAGCTTCTGAGTAACTTGGTGTCTTTTTGGTCACATTAAAATCAAGCTGTGAACAAAAGCAGGTTATTCATTCTTTGAAACAAAAAGAGTCTTTGCCAGCCAGTTAATGAGGAAAGAACACTTCCAAATTCTGATTTGTGTAAGAGTGTTTAAGTTGTAACATCTCAATTCACGGCAGCGCCCTTCCCACAGTCTCAAAGTCATAAAGAACTCATCTGTTCCTGACTAAGCAGAGTCTTGGGGGAGGTCTCTGCCAGGCTTGCCTGACTCAGGCTGCCGTGGATTGTTCTCAGAAACCCTTCTTGAGTGGTCGTGAGCTGCTGGGAGCAGGAAGGGGAGAGAAGAGGGCCTCTCTCTGATGGAAACTGCCCAGGCTTGGGGCTGCTTCTTGCTCTTAGACTTGCAGGGGATTTACTGGGATGACTCACTTATCACCCTCCGGGGACGCAAATGCAGCCAATGGCTTACTAAACTGCACTTCAATTGACATGGGGTTTTGCTATAATATGTAATGTTCTTTTAATATTTTCCTTAACTCTCTGAAATGTGAGTAAGGCAGTAACATTAAATGTGCTGAGGGATGCAAAATCTTTAGTGGTGCATTTGCTATACTAAAAAAACACCCCACAACCCCAGCCCCCAAACAAGTGCTTTCAAAGGCTCAACTCTTCACTGCAACATCTGGGAAGAATTGCAGTGTTTTGTTTCTGGGTTTTGCTTTGCTTTTATTCCCAACCTGTGTGATCTGCCCAGTGTATCCTGTGAACCTGACTTCTCGTGGCCTTCTTACGCAGCGGATAAGGCAACAATGTAGAAGTGTTACTGTGGAGAACATCTATTAAATAAATCTGCTATTCAGAAATACTCTAGTGCTTCCACTACTGTTGCAGGAATACAAGAGCTTTTGGACTGTCTTACACACACACAGAAGAAAATTGCTAGCATAAGGAGAGCGGAGGCTAAATGAGGGAGGTAGGATGAAGTGCCATTGTTCCCATTTGACAAGAGGGAATATCTACAGAGATAGGCTTCTCTTTATGTCAATAGGAGTATGAGTGTAGCATCCATGTCTCCTTACTGATATTTTATGCTTTTGTGCTCAGATTGCTTTTTTTTTTTTTTAAGGAAGGTGGAGGAGTATGTGAAATTTTGGCTTTGGGGTTGTTTATTCAGACTTTGTAGTTATGGCCTGACTGTGTAATGTATTTGTGATCCCACATGAGCAAGTGCTGCTATGGCTGTGGTGACAGTTGTGCCCCTAGTCAGAGCCCAGGGAAGTGGATTTCTGAAGGCTCTGGGTAAAGATCTAACACTTCGGCTATTCTATTCCGCCCTGAAACTGAGCCCCTTTGAAGCCCCTACATTGAAATGGCAGGGAGAGGAAACCCTGTCTCTGCCAGCTATCCAGCTGAATCGATTCAACTGACTTGATGGGAAGGTAGTCCAGCTAACCTTCTCCTGCCGAATTTACAAGGTATTCTTTACTCATCTTTCCCTTAGCAATGACAACACAGGTAGCATTATGGTAAAAATTATATTACTGGATCTGTTATAACATCATTAACATTAGTTTTGAGTACATGAAAAGTGTGCAAAGGCTTGCACTAAGCCTGAATTGTTCCAGTACTGAGAGGAAACCCAAGGCTTCAGTTAGAGTTTCGTTGCTTGCTTTCCCTACAATGTGGAAGGCGGATGAAGGAACCTACCCCAGGCCTCCAAGATATGTTCCTGCCCATAGTAGCTGTATTAATCATTTAGCTCCTTTTCTCCATCAGTTGCCCCCAGGCTCTTCAAAGACCATAGCTTCCTTGCTGCTACTGTAAGGCATCTCCAAAAGTGTTATTTTTTTTGTTGTTGATGCTTAGCTCTAACAATTATTTTCATCTAGAATCTATATGCCATTAGTGTGAAAACATATACAGGTGAATTACTCTACCAATTTTAAGTGTACTGTTTTCCAGGCCCTCCTGTTTCCTCTAAGTAAAAGGATTTCCCACTGCAGATAACTGGAATTTTGTTGTATGTTCTGAGCTGGCAGAGTTGTCCTTCAGCCTCTTAGATTGCATTTCAGCTGAAGAGGCTGGTAGAAATAGCTGTACTGGGAGTTTACTGGAGTGTATGTTTGCAAAGAAGTGTATGTTTTGAGGCAGTGCTGCAGGTATTTGAAGACATTACTCATGAACAGACTGTGATGTGCTAAATTGAGTGGAACCTGTGTGCCAACTTCACAGAGCATGATTTTGCCTGAAAGCCAGTTGTTTATGAAGTATGCAAGTTGAGGAGTGGAAGACACAAAGGTACTGTTAAAAGTATAATTGGATGGGTAATATCTTGGGCCTCTTTGATGCGTCTTTTTTAACCGCTTCATATTTGTAATGTGCCAAAAATAGCTGTACAGGCTGCTACGGCCATCACTAGTGTAGCTGGGAATAGATTTTAATTGATGGATACTGTCAAGCTGTTAGTGGCCATGCAGTCGTGAGAACCATTAAAGTGATATTTCTTGTCCCTGCTCACTTAAACACTCTGCTACCAAGTCATAGCAGAGTATTATTTTTTTACTTAATATTGTCAGCATTGTACTGATAGCTTACTAAGGCTATGTCCTAGATTTTTAAGTTGCTCAGCAGTGAGAGCTGCTGACCATTAACTTCATCTACTGTGATACCTGGAGATGGTGCTAAGACCCTAAAAAAATCTGGTTTATGGAATGAGGGACAAATGCATCCTTGGAGTCTAATTTGCTTGTGACTCTTTCGGCTGCAGTGTTTCCCTTGGTGCACATAGGATGTAAGAAGGTGGCATTTAACTATGGTACTCTGATGTGTTAATGCTGAGGCCATACTCCATCATGGGCAACGTGGAAGTGTTTTGGAGTGTTCCACTTTCATGGAGTCTTTCATTGTGTCCTTTTGTGCGTGTGTAGTATGTAAGGTAGAGGAACTGGTTTTGAAGCTTTGAGTTGAGACTGGTTAAACTTCAGCACTTTTCAGCCTGGAATGAAATTTTAACCTCAGAAAAAAAATGTCCAGAAAACCTGGGGCAAGGGCACGTGGGGAAAAGACAGCAGCAGCTTCATACAAGCAGCATTCAAGAATGAACACTTTCCCTGCTCTCTCCTGCTATCTTTCCCTTTGCGGAGGGAAGAGAAATTTCAGAAGTGCATGAGCAGGGAGCAGAGTGGCAGAGGCTGTGCCTGTGGACTAGATAAGCTGAAGGAGCACTGGGCTTGTATGAGATGCAGGGAGCAAAGACTTCAGAGAGTCTCTAGAAAGCAACTGACCTGTGCTCCGAAGTGCAGACTTTGCAGAGATGTCATTACGAGCCAGATAACCTCTTGCCCAAGCAGTGCTTGCTGGTTATTTCACATTAGCTGCTAAATAGCATCAGCTGTCAGCCTTTCTACAAGAGATCTAGTCTTCTGAATCAAATTTAGTCTTCCCTTTGGTTGAGCCAAAGGAAGGAGCTTGGGACAGAGTTGTTTAAAGAAAAGACATATGTGCTGACCCTTCTGTGGGTTGTGACTCTTCCTTTAAGAACCTGTAGAAAGGCTGCAGTCAAGAGGAGAAACCTCTCTGATGCAAGTCTCGGTCCTCCAGTCCTTCAGCAGCTTCAGATACCTGTGCTGGTTTGGGGTCTGAGTTTGTGCACCTTCCCAAGGCTTTCCTCGCCTCTCTGACCTGCGGAGGGTTGTCTGTTATTCCTGTCCTCTGAGCGGAAACTGCCATCCCTTCCAAAACGACACCACTGTTCAAAAGGTTGCAGGTTGAAAACCAAAAGCGAATCAAGCAAGCTTATTTCCATTTAATTGTTTTGATCAGTTGTGTAGGAGGTCCCCTGCATTTTAAATTTACATATTGCTATATATATATTAATAAAGTATAATAAGTTACTTGATAATCTCCCCAAACAGGGACAAGATCAAACTTCTAGCCATCCATTCAGTCTCTATGCCGTTGTCCTTTGGCATGTTAGTTATACCAGTGTCAAAAACTGCTGGTGAATCTCACGGCAAGGTAAATACGTTCAGTAGAGGCGCTTGGTGGCTGCTTCTCTTCACTTCCAAACCTTGCCAGGGCTGGGGACCAAATGCCAGTTGTGGAGATGACCCATCCTAACCAGATGACTGTGCAGACATGGTGCCATCTGCCAGGTCTTTGCGTGAGACTGCATACACAAGCTAGGAGCAGGATGCTGTGGTTCCCACACCCTCCTTCTGTCTGAAGCAGATCAGAGGTTTCTTCAAAGCTTGAGCTGCTCACTGGTGTGGGGCAGCAGTAGAATGTAGGTCATCAGCATGCTCTGTCCTGCTTACCTTGTTGCCTTGAGGGACCTATGATGTGTGCTCTGGACAGGACTCACAGGCCAAGCAGGTCACCTGCCAAAGAGCCCTGGCAAGGATGGAGGCCTTGTGTTTCCCCTGAGGCAAGTCTGCATTAGTTGTTGTCTCTCGGGCTCCAGGACCTGCTGCGTTAGAGGACCAGAATTCCTCCTTTGTGGAACGAATGTGTTTTAACTCATGATTTGGGGTAGGGAGGAGGCAGAGAAGACTCATTGCTATTTTCTTTGTGGATAAGCAGGAAACATCCATCTCGGGACTGCACAAACCTTCCCGTTGCTATCAATATGGAACCTGCTATATTCTGAATTATTGCTCTGTCTAAAAAATCATGGTTATCTAGCATTTGCAGTTATTTTACTAAGGCTTATGAACTGTACTGAAACTTCCCAAGGAGCTGCAGTTGCACGTGACGAGATGGAATTGCAGAGGACCACCGTCTTATCAGCAAAGCAGACCATCAAAGTCTTCATTTCCTCCTTTCTGCTTGGATTTTTTTTCTGCTGTGAGCCTTTCCTGGCTGCATCTGGCTCATGCCCTGACCTATGCTGGTCTCTTTTGTTTTCTCCTCCTCAGCTGTGCAGCCTTCTCTTTGTACATTTCTTTGTCTTTTTCTGGCTGTTTGTGCCATAATTTCCCTAATGTCTTGGCAGTTTCTACTGCTGTCCACTGTGGATTTGATTTCTGAAGCTGTGGGCGATGCTGTGCCATGAAGAGAAAGAAAGCAGGTAGTGGCTGCTTTGCTCTCCCGAAGCTAACTCTTTTCTTCTGCTGCCGCCTTCTCACTCCTCTTGGAGGACCCGATGTTCTCTCCTTTGGGTGCTTGGCCATCTCTTCATGCTTCTTTCTCTTCTCCCTGGCTGTGGTTTTCCATATTTTTGAGCGTTTCTTTGAAACCTTTCCACTAGTGTCAGGCTTCTGGCTGGCCGTGGCCTTCTTGATGGAGATGTAGAACAGCAGGTGAGCTGTGCGCTTCCCCCCGCGGAGCTTGCGAGCAGGCCAAGCCATGGCGTGGTGAGCTGGTGTGCGTGGCGGGGGTGAGCTGGGCTGTTCTTGCTCCTTTTTGGAGTGGTGTTACTTTTCTGGCATGATGGTGAGGAGGAGGCGGCCCTGCTGGCCGGCAGAGCAGCTGCTGGAGTGCGCTGGAATGTGCGGTGGTGATGACGTTGTTGTGTGATTATGACGCACCATTTACAGAGCCAATCGTTTAGGGCCGTATCTGCTTCCTGTAACTACTGGCTAAAGGGTTAGGATGAAGTCATTGCTGTGGTGATGTAACGTAGCTCTTCGCTGGCCTAGGATTGCGTTCTTCCCTGGCACTGGGATTTAGCTCCATTGAACGCACAGAGTGTTACAAATGTGTGTAATACCCAAGGAGATAACTGGATGCCTCTAATTTTTTGTCATGATAAAATGTGAAGCTGCTGCTAGCTGCTGAGAGGTGGCAGCTCATAATGTGAAAATGGTTTAGTAGCAGCCCTAAAAATAATTGTATGTGACAGCTGTTTCTTGGTTCCTGTCAGGATAACTACTGTAATTTAAATCTGCAGCTCTTGGACTACATGTCTAATTTATTTGGGTGGACTTTTCATTAATTTGAAAGGTTCTGAGGGTTTAAAAGCCTTCATTAATTACATTTTAGTAAATGAAAGTGTAATAAGGTTCTGCAGGCTTGTGTAGGAATAAAGGAAATTTCACATATGTTGTTTGCTTTTTGAAAAAAAAAAAGTTAAATCAGTTGTTCTCAGGAAGTGGCTAGCTTTTCTGTCCCCTTCAGAATTCTCATGACTAAGAACAGGAATATGAATAAAACAAATTGAAATTTTGACCATTCATTGTAAGTACAAGATGACTTACTGAAGTTCCCAGTAGTGTTAAATATTCATATGTAGTGGATTGCATAAGTATTAAATTATGAAACAGACCCTACTGCTGTAGAACTTGTCTTTCCGAAAGGTAAAGATGGGGGAACAGAAGCTCAGAAGTAGGGAGTCATCCCTGTATTACACACAGATGACTTTTTTTTATTGCATAATTCTGTTGCAGCTACTAGGACTTCTGTAATTGCTGTCAGAGTTAGGGGCGGATGACTTGTCAGGCTCTGTAGAAGCTGGTGGCAAAATCAAGCCTAGACAAAATACTTCAGTGCTATGGTGCTTTTGTGCTTGTCTGTTCCCCTTCTGTGTTTACTCTCAGTTGTTTTCAAGTGACCCCACAATAGTAAATAAAATTGGAACAAACTCAGCCTGTTTGTAGTACCATAAGGCTTGCTCCTTTCATGTTACAACTTGTTTCTCCTTTCTCTATGAGCAGAGAGGGTGATTTGCATTCCATTTATCTACCCCACTTTCCCTTCGTTGTTTCTTTTGCTCTCAAAAGAGAACCTGCATTTGTGATTATTCTGGGGCAATGAAATAATTTCATTACAGCATTCAGAGGTCTCTTCAGCAGGTGCTTTATTATCTCAATAATTCAGCCTAAGAGACTTTTCAGATTCCCCAATTCCCAGAGTTCAGGAGCTACAAATAAAACTCTTGCTCCTTCCCCGATTTGGTTTATTTAGCCTCATTTATCTGTGTTCTTTCCAGATCTTCCCCAGGAATTTCATTTAAATGTGGAATTGATGATATTCAGTAAATTTGCCTTAAGGAGTGCATTGTGTTAGAATGCACATGAGACGGTGTGTCCCCCGCTTGGTTTAGGTCATTTGTAAAATTCACTTTGAATTGAGGCCATTAATCTGAACTCAGTATAATGTTTGACCATGTCCCTGAGTTACCTACATAATTCATCAAAATAGGCCAACTCTGTTCAGATAAATCCTGGGATTGGAGTGCTGGAATAAACACAGGTCAGTGCTGTCTTGTTCCTCTCGGAGAGGTGTGGTAGGGTTTAATGTGCTGCCACTTCTGTGGAGCCTCTGTGGGCAAATACACTATAATCAAGTAGCTTTATTGCTGTAACTTCCTCTAGTATAGCAGTTTTTCAGGTAGAAGGCAATTGTTAAGAAAAATCATTTGCAGGCAGCAGAGCCCAACTTCAGATGCGTTTGCATCTAAGACAACGTTTGTGCAAAGCTTTTCCTGTGACTGTGACCACTAATCTTCTCTCGGGTCTAATGGCTAAGCCTTTTCCTCAGTGGCATATTGAGTGCCTGCCCTCTGCTACACAGTGTGGGGGTGTGGTTTTTTTTGGCTTGTTTTTTTTTTGTTTTTTTGGTTTTTTTTTAGAAATTTATAGGATCTTAATGACTTGGAGCCCCCCCAGCCTCTAGGAAACATGGCTGGGAATCGTCAGTGGAGCCAGGAGCCGCTTGGTCCTCACACAGGCCTGCTTTCCTTAGAAAGCCCCTGGAGAAGACTTGTGCTTCACCCTGTCTTGAGCCGCAAAGTTTGCGTTACTGGCTAAGTCTAAAGACCAAACTTGTTGCAGTTGGCTAAATACAGTTAGTGTCATACTTCAGAGCAGACCCTTGAACTCAAGGCCGTGCGCTTGCTGAGCCTGGAGGAGACGGTGAAGCTCAACTGGGTCTTGGTCATCGGCTCTCCCACTACTTCAGTGTGCAAGAGGCAGTGGATTCACAGCTATCTACAACTAATGCCTCGGGTCTGGAGGAATATTCCCCTCAAAGCAAAGAATATCTTCCCTGTGCTCCACCATGCGTTGGATGAATAAGATTGCGGAGCACTGAGAACCTTGCCCATCAGTACGTTTCCAACCCTGCAGTATCCTGCTGCGCCGGTGTATTTACCCAAGCAGGCTTTTGGCTGTGCAGTTATGTGGACAATGAATTTTAAGCCTGAAGATCATATTAGTTTAATAAAATTTGTTTAAAGTGTTATTTTATACAAATGTCAGTAGTTGGAATTACCCAGCCAAGAAATGAAAGCATTACCTGATGAGTGAGAGCCTATAAAAAGTGCCTGAAACAGACCATAGCCTGGGTAGAGAGTTCATGTGTGTGAAACACGGTGATTGAAAACTGTTAATGCATTTAATATATCAAATTTGAAATACAGATTAAAGGGGGGGGAGGAGACATGACAAATGTGGTATGAGCTGTTCCAGTATCTTCAAGTTCACTGGTCCAGTCTCCTGCAAGTGGTTTATCTGTTGGAGGTGACAGCTTGATGTTCCTGCAGTGTTGTGTCCGCTCTGCCGTGTGCTGTGTCTCACTGGCCACAGCTTGGCTCTTTCCTTCAGCGAAGGAGAACATTTTATGCTTGCCTTAGCGTTTCTGGAGTTGACTACAGCTAGGAAAGGTTGTAAGGTTGTTGCTATCCCTCTTCCACTGCTGTCATATATGATAAGTCAAGAACATCACAATAAAGTAGAAGAAGAGTTATTTGATACAAGTTTTTAGGGAGCTATATTTAAAAATGATTGTTCCTGATAATGCAGCAAGGTGCATTGAGTTTGCTGTGTGTTTTGCTGAGGGGAAACTGAAATGCAGAATAGAAAAGATACTCTGTGCCTTAATAAGTTTCCGGTCTTTATTTTCACTTGACAGTGTTTACCTAAAAGCTCTGCTGTATCTCTGTTAGCAACCTGACTTTTTATTTCAGGATAAATTTCGTTCTGGACCCTGGGACATGGAAGCTTCCCTGCTGTTGCATTCCTGATGGACAGTTCTTGCCTTCCTCTGTGTTAGCCTCACGTGCTGTCCTGGGCAGCACCTATGGGTTAAGGGTTTGAAGGGTTTGGGGGGAGAGGGTGTGAAGGGGCACCAAAAGTGGGTTGTGTAGCCTGAAAAAAAACCCAGAAGACTTAATTAGAGCATTTTAAAAACAGAAGATCCTAGGTAAGATGTTGGAGTTGTCTTACTTTTGTTCTGGTTTATCATCCAGGTGAGACACTGGCTTACTCTTTTTGCTGTTTCTTAGTGGTGCTTGGCTGGAAAGCAGTTGGGATGTAAGGCAGCGCTGTTCTTGCAGGAGGAACTCCTTTGCGTATCACTGAGGTTGTGAATACAGTTACTGCTAGTTTAAAGCATGTTCTTGCAAAGTAGGTGGGATTTTTTTAAGCCTTCAAAATAGCATTGTATACCTTACTTCAAAGTCCAATTGTCATGCTCGTAATGACATGTAGTTGTTCTGTTGACTCATTCTGCTCATCAGAAAGTAATAATTCAATCTTCATTTCCTCAGTCTAGTTTTTTAGCATGTGTGTTCAGCACATGAGTATAGCTTTCACATGAAATGAGATTCTTGTGCTTAAAAAACCCTTTTGAGTGCAATGCTGCTCCAAGCTGACCCTCCCTTTGCTGGGCTGCTAAGGTAGTCTGGTGAAAACTGCTTTCTCATTCACACAAACATCTCCAAGGCGGGTAAGTGTTGCGGTCCTCATGTGCTTGTGCAGAGGTTTATCAAAGAATTCATGGAAGATGTGGGAATGAACCCATTCACTCCACTGCTGAACATTTGATGTGTCTCCTTGTGTAAAACAATGATTTTTTTTTTTTTTCAGATTGGTTGGGAGGTTGCAAAATGTTTGTTTGGGGTGGTGGCATTTGTTGTACCATATGAATATGATCCTGAAATTGTTCATTAAAATGGGGTTTTGTCCATTTTCCTAAACGAACCTGAGCAAGGCCTCTGGGTCTTCTGAGGTACCTGCTTAGTGGCGTTACCTGGTCAGCGCAGTAGTTAGAAATGTACCCTGAGGCTGTAAACACCAAATTATGAAGAAAAGATTTTTGCTATCAGTCCTGGCAGAAGATCTTTTTTGTGGATCTGTTTGGATTTCCAGTGAAAAGTAGAATCTATAAAACTTGTATATGACACATAATAATGTTTATCTGGTATTTATAATTTCATTAAAAACAAAGAAAAAAACCCCTCACAGTCTTTGGGTGCTGAAATGGCTCACTCAACAAAGACCCTACCTCTCTGCCTATTAGTTGGTAAGTGGTGATTAAGGTATGAAATTGGTTCCGATTTGCCATGGTAGGTGAAAATTTCATGCCGGAAGGAATAATGTAAAAGGCAACACAGGAAAATTAACAAAAG